CAGAGTCTCATCATTCAGCATGTCTGGCGTCACGTCTCCCTGCAGACACTGCAAGCTCTTTCCTTGAATCTATTTCTGCAATGAAGATCCTGCCAGACAGCAGGCCAACCACGCTAAACGGCTGCCTCATGCTGTGATAGGGGGGCTTCTGTTATTATAGGGGGGCTCCAATATGATGGAGAGGAACTCTGATGTGATGGGGGGACACCAATATGATGGGGGGGCACCTCTGATGTGATGGGGATCCATGATGTGATGGGGGGACCTCTGATGTTATAGGGGGGCTCCAATATGATGGGGGGACCTCTGATATGATGGGGGGGACACCAATATGATGGAGAGGACCTCTGATGTGATGAGGGGGGGGGGCACCAATATGATGGAGAGGACCTCTGATGTGATGGGGATCTATGATGTGAAGGGGGAACCTCTGATGTTATAGGGGGGCACCAATATGATGGGGGGGACCTCTGATGTGATGGGGATCCATGATGTGAAGGGGGAACCTCTGATGTGATGGGGGGCCCTCTGATGTGATGGGGATCCATGATGTGAAGGGGGGACCTCTGATGTGCAGTGGGACCTTTGGTGCAATGGGGGGGCGGCACCAAATGGGGATGTGATTGGGGGGGGGCACCAACATGTGATGGGGGGACCTTTGATGTGCAGTGGGACCTCTGATGTGACGGGGATTCATGATGTGAAGGTGGAACCTCTGATGTGCAGTGGTCCCTTCTGATGTGATGGGGATCCATGATGTGAAGGGGGGACCTCTGATGTGCAGTGGGACCTTTGGTGCAATGGGGAGAAATCTGATGTGATTGGGGGGGGGGGGGCTGCAACCAACATGTGATGGGGGGACCTCTGATGTGCAGTGGGACCTTTGGTGCAATGGGGGGGGCGGGCACCACATGGGGATGTGATTGGGGGGGGGGGGCACCAACATGTGATGGGGGGACCTTTGATGTGCAGTGGGACCTCTGATGTGCAGTGGGACCTCTGATGTGACGGGGATCCATGATGTGAAGGGGGGACCTCTGATGTGCAGTGGGACCTTTGGTGCAATGGGGGGGGCGGGTACCAAATGGGGATGTGATGGGGGGGGGCACCAACATGTGATGGGGGGACCTTTGATGTGCAGTGGGACCTCTGATGTGACGGGGATCCATGATGTGAAGGGGGGACCTCTGATGTGCAGTGGGACCTTTGGTGCAATGGGGGGGCACAACATGTGATGGGGGGGACCTTTGATGTGCAGTGGGACCTCTGCTGTGATTAGGGCCCACCAATGTGTGATAGGGGGGGACACCCAATGTGCAGTGGGCGCTCTGGTGTCAAAGGTGGACCCCTGACGTTATAGGGGGGCCACTGATTTGATGGGGGAAGACCAATGTGATAAAGGGACCTTTAATGTGTGATAGTAGAACTACCAATATTAAGGAGAACCTCTGATGTGATGAGGGCAACCAATGTGCACTGGAAGTTCTGGTGTGATAGGGGGGCCCCACCAATGTGATAGTGGGGATGACCAATATTAAGGGGGACCACTGATGTGATGAGGGCAACCAACTTGCACTGGGAGCTCTGGTGTGATAAGGGGGACGACCAATGTCACAAGGGGACCTCTGGTGTGCAGGAGGACCTCTAACGTGCAATAGTGGGACCACCGATATGATACGGGGTGGGGGCACCGATATGATGGGGGGGGTAGGGGGGTTGGGGGAACCACCGTTGTGATAGTGGGGGGCAGCAATATGATAGGGGGACCTCTAATGTAATGGGGGGATCTATGATGTGATGAGAGACCACCAATGAGCTCTGGTGTGCTAGGAGGACCTCTGATGCTATAGGAGGGGCACCAATATGATGGGGGGACCCCTGATGTGATGGGGAGGGAATCCGTGATGTGCAGTGGGACCTCTACTGCAATAGGGGGACCTCTGATGTTATGGGGGACCACCAATGTGCGTGGGAGCTCTGGTGTGATAAGACCTCCTGATGTTATAGGGGGACGACCGATGTGATAAGGGGAACTCTAATGTGTGACAGTGGGAGCACCAATATGATAGAGGGACCTCTAGTGAGGGGGGACCACTGATGTGATGGGTGGCCACCAACGTGCGATGGGGGGACTTCTGATGTGATGATGGACCACCAAAGTGCACTGGGAGCTCTGGTGTGATAGCGTGACCACCAATGATATAGGGGGGATGACCAATGTGATAGGGGAACTTCTGATGCGCACTGTCCAATATGTGACAGTGGGACCACCGATGTGATAGGAGGACCACTGGTGGTATTTGGAGGACCTCTGATGGGCTTCTGCTGTGAAATGAATGCAAGGCAGCTGTGTTCATCATCCCCGACTCATTGATAAGTAACATTTTCTGCATCTTAGACTGGGGCACCCCGGGATATTGCACAATGTTAACGCACGCCACGGTGAAAAAAAAAACAACCCAAAACCGGATGAGAAACCCGGGCCTAGCGCATCATTTGTGACGACATCCATTGTACTCATACCCAGGACTTGGCTGTAGAACTGAGGATTCAGAATCTTCTGGAAATACGTCGTGGTCACATGACCCAGCATACACAGCGACCACACCGTGTCCAACTGCACCTTCCAGTCCAGCGAGTCGAATTCGGAGCCGAAACGTTGGTGAATCTAAAGAAATAACGAGAAGATCGGATTGTTCTTACAGGAAATCATTCTTACATTAGAGAAGAGGAAGGAAGCTTGGCTGCAGTACGAGGATTCTGATTGGGGGGTTCTGAAGGCCAATCAGGCTTCGTTTGCTGCTCCATCACTGTCCAATCACAGACCGGGGAGGTCACTGACCACCGACAAGCCGTACTGCAGTGAGGTCAGGATCAGATTGCGTTATCTAATTTTCATCTGTATATTCAGTGTGCCTTCATTATGCTGATTGGGGGAGGGGGGGAAGGGGGAGGAACCAGGAAAATCAAAAAATAATCAGATTAGATTTCAGCTTTAACGGTCCTAACATCGGGGAAAAAGAGTGACGCTCTGCTTTAAGTCATTCCCTTGACGCATGCTGTGTATGTCTTCAGCTCATCTCCCCATATTACATCAGGTGGAATATGAGGCCCGTGAGATACAGGTTTCTGTAGCAGCCCATTGGCCAGCGACCTCCAGGGAGTGGGTGGAGCTGAATTTGAATCCCTTTCGTGTTTAAAAATCGACAAAAAACTGCGGGATTTTAACATGGAAAATACGATACAGCATCAGAGGTCGGGAATACAGGAGCCGGCAGGGGACACAACCTGAAAACACAGCGTCAGAGGTCGGGAATACAGGAGCCGGCAGGGGACACAACCCGGAGACACAGCGTCAGAGGTCGGGAATACAGGAGCCGGCAGGGGACACAACCCGGAGACACAGCGTCAGAGGTCGGGAATACAGGAGCCGGCAGGGGACACAATCCGGAGACATAGCGTCAGAGGTCGGGAATACAGGAGCCGGCAGGGGACACAACCCGGAGACACAGCGTCAGAGGTCGGGAATACAGGAGCCGGCAGGGGACACAACCCGGAGACACAGCGTCAGAGGTCGGGAATACAGGAGCCGGCAGGGGACACAACCCGGAGACATAGTGTCAGAGGTCAGGAATACAGGAGCCGGCAGGGGACACAACCCGGAGACACAGCGTCAGAGGTCGGGAATACAGGAGCCGGCAGGGGACACAACCCGGAGACAGTGTCAGAGGTCAGGAATACAGGAGCCGGCAGGGGACACAACCCGGAGACATAGTGTCAGAGGTCAGGAATACAGGAGCCGGCAGGGGACACAACCCGGAGACACAGCGTCAGAGGTCGGGAATACAGGAGCCGGCAGGGGACACAACCTGAAACACAGCGTCAGAGGTCAGGAATACAGGAGCCGGCAGGGGACACAACCCGGAGACATAGCGTCAGAGGTCGGGAATACAGGAGCCGGCAGGGGACACAATCTGGAGATAAAGTAAAGGAAATGCGTATTTGCTCCCCGGCTGATGTTAAATGTTCGCCCCTCACACAGAAATGATCGATCTAACAATGGAATGTTCGCCCCTCACACAGAAACGATCGGTCTAACAATGGAATGTTCGCCCCCTCACACAGAAATGATCGGCCTAACAATGGAATGTTCGGTGTAACACTGAGAGACAGAATACAACAACAAATTCAGCAGAAATGCGTCTAACAAATGATGACGGATCTGCATGTTCATGAGGGAAAGAAGGATTTGATCCCCTATCATTCAGCAGGATTTCTGGCTCCCAGGTGTCTTTCATACAGGTAACAAGCTGAGATTAGAAGCAGTCTCTTAAAGGGAGTGCTGCTAATCTCATTTGTGTTACCTGTATAAAAGACACCTGTCCACAGGAGCCATCAAACCATCAGATTCCAAACTCTCCACCATGGCAAAGACCAAAGAGCTGTCCAGGGATGTCAGGGACAAGATGGTAGACCTACACAAGGCTGGACTGGGCTACCAAACTATGGCCAAGCAGCTTGGTGAGAAGGTGACAACAGTTGGTGCAATCATTCACAAATGGAAGAAACACAAAACAAGTGTCAGTCTCCCTAGGTCTGGTGCACCATGCAAGATCTCACCTCGTGGAGTGTCAATGATCATGAGAACAGTGAGGAATCATCCCAGAACTACACGTGAGGATCTTGTCAATGATCTCCAGGCAGCTGGGACCACAGTCACCAAGAAAACAATTGGTAACACACTACGCCGACAAGGACTGAAATCCTGCAGTGCCCGCACGGTCCCTCTGCTCAAGAAAGCCCATGTCCAGGCCCGTCTGAAGTCTGCCACTGAACATCTGAATGATGCAGAGGAGGACTGGTGGGAAGTGTTGTGGTCAGAGGAGACCAAAATCCAGCTCTTTGGCATCAACTCAACTCGCCATGTTTGGAGGAAGAGGAGGAATGCTGCCTATGACCCCAAGAACATCATCCCAACTGTGAAACATGGTGGTGGAAACATTCTGCTTTGGGGGGTTTTTCTACTAAGGGGACAGGACAACTGCACCGCATCAAAGGGACGATGGACGGGGCAATGTACCCTCAAATCTTGGGTGAGAACCTTCTTCCCTCAGCCAGGGCATTGAAAATGGGTGGTGGATGGGTGTTCCAGCATGACAATGACCCAAAACACACGGCCAAGGCAACAAAGGAGCGGCTCAAGAAGAAGCACATTAAGGTCCTGGAGTGGCCTAGCCAGTCTCCAGACCTTCATCCGATTGAAAATCTGTGGAGGGAGCTGAAAGTTCGAGTTGCCAAACGTCAGCCACCAAACCTTAATGACTTGGAGAGGATCTGCCAAGAGGAGTGGGCCAAAATCCCTCCTGAGATGTGTGCGAACCTGGGGGCCAACACCAGGAAACGTCTGACCTCTGTGATGGCCAACAAGGGATTGGCCACCAAGTACTAAGTCATGTTTTGTGAAGGGGATCAAATCCTTCTTTCCCTCATGAACATGCAGATCAGTCATCACTGATCTGAGGGGCGAACATTCCATTGTTAGACCGATCGTTTCTGTGTGAGGGGCGAACATTCCATTGTTAGACCGATCGTTTCTGTGTGAGGGGCGAACATTCCATTGTTAGACCGATCGTTTCTGTGTGAGGGGCGAACATTCCATTGTTAGACCGATCATTTCTGTGTGAGGGGCGAACATTCCATTGTTAGACCGATCATTTCTGTGTGAGGGGCGAACATTCACCATCAGCAGGGGGGCAAATACGCATTTCCTTCACTGTATAGCATCAGAGGTCGGGAATACAGGAGCCGGCAGGGAATACAGGAGCCGGCAGGGAATACAGGAGCCGGCAGGGAATACAGGAGCCGGCAGGGAATACAGGAGCCGGCAGGGAATACAGGAGCCGGCAGGGAATACAGGAGCCGGCAGGGAATACAGGAGCCGGCAGGGAATACAGGAGCCGGCAGGGAATACAGGAGCCGGCAGGGAATACAGGAGCCGGCAGGGAATACAGGAGCCGGCAGGGGACACAATAGCGGGACACTCACCATATTGAAGAACTCTTCGCTCTGACGGGGCTGGAAGTTGAGAAATGCAAAACTCAGAAGGACAGAGAAGAGCTGGTTGATGTTGAAGGTCTCGCTGTGCTGCAGGCATACCTGTGGGGACACAACACAGATGAGGGGCGGTTACATATCGGTCAGACTCCGTTTTCAGGGTGCGGACTCCGTCTGCTGCATTTAGTACATTCGCCCGGCATAAAAATGTCGCTGCTCGCAAGTCGACTATATCGGTCAGCATCAGATAGGGCTCACCTGTGCTCCTCATACACAGTTCTGAGCAAAGAACCGCCGACTGCGACATTTCAATAAAACTTTATTGCCTCACAAGGAATATACAATATAAACCCCGTCACGGATTCCACACATGCCACGCCCACAGCGACTAGCTAACCGAGACGCGCACGTGCGGCTGTGACTTGGGGTACGAGGGAATAAATGGGACTCAACTTTGAATATATAAAACCGTATATAAGACCGGCCGTGATACACTTTCACAGCCCGCACTACCTTTTGGCCACCAGCAGAGGGAGACTCAACTCCAATCCAGCTGGTCGACCACACACACTGGCAGATACAAATCTTACATACAATCTGGTGCACTGATTAGAGTTGAGGAGCAGCTTAGCAATCACACCCTTCTAGGATTCCTCCAGCTATCCTACAGCTAGAACCCCGGTGTCAATCACCCTTCCACTGTCCACACCTTAAACCCCCCCCCCCCCCCCGCACCAGACACACTGCAAAAGGTAGCCTGCCACCACCCAACAGTTTATCCGCAGAACGGTCTGCTGGGAAACCCCCACACACACACACACAAACAGATCTACGTCTGGCAGATCTGCTACCTTTACAACCTGCATGCAATCTGCCCACACACAGTGCAATTGCATACAGATTGGCAATGAACTTGACCGAGCGTTTAAAGGCACTAAAGTACAATCCAATCTAATCTCTCCAATCTAATCTCTCCGGAGATATGAGCCCGAGCTTATATACACAGAAGTCACTAATTCACTTTAAGATTTAATATCACGAAAGTGGGCGGAGCATAAAATATGTACAATATATAAAGTTACAGAAATACAAAAAATACAAGAAGACACAAACGACTATTCACTATAAAATAAAAGGGAATAAAACAGAATAAAACTTCACCAAGATCTATCCTGCGACTGGAGCAAGTCAGGGAGAGTCAGCAATCCGTTGGTCGATCGAACCGTCTCCATACGAATTCCAATGTACGGGTACTCAATTTATGGGGATATGGAGGTAGGCGGGACATCAGTCCTCGGCCAATTGACCCTGGGGGGTGTTCCTGTACCCGCCCACACGATGTTCTGGGTGCCGAACTGCCCAAGGTCAATAGGACCGGCTTGAATCACCAAGTCAAGGATTGGATTTCCGACACCAGCGCATCTTTCCGATCGCGACAGTACCACTCACTGTTTGGCTGTCGCAATCCAGCGCCACATACAGTGGGGCAAAAAAGTATGTAGTCCCCACCAATGGTGCAAGTTCTCCCACTTACAAAGATGAGAGAGGCCTGTAATTGGCATCATAGGGAGACCTCAACTATGAGAGACAAAATGAGAAAACAAATCCAGACAATCACATTGGCTGATCTGGAAAGAATTGATTTGCAAATTATGGTGGAAAATAAGTATTTGGTGAATATGAAAAGTTCATGTCAATACTTTGTTATATATCCTTTGTTGGCAATGACAGAGGTCAGACGTTTCCTGGAAGTCTTCACAAGGTTGGCACACACTGTTGCTAGTATGTTGGCCCATCCTCCATGCAGATCTCCTCCTCCATGCAGATCTCCTCTAGAGCAGTGATGTTTTGGGGCTGTCGCTGGGCAACACGGACTTTCAACTCCCTCCAAAGGTTTTCTATGGGGTTGAGATCTGGAGACTGGCTAGGCCACTCCAGGACCTTGAAATGCTTCTTACGAAGCCACTCCTTCGTTGCCCGGGCGGTATGTTTGGGATCATCGTCATGTTGGAAGACCCAGCCACGTTTCATCTTCAATGCCCTTGCTGATGGAAGGAGGTTTGCACTCAAAATCTCACGATACATGGCCCCATTCATTCTGTCCTGTACATGGATCAGTCGTCCTGGTCCCTTTGCGGAGAAACAGCCCCAAAGCATGATGTTGCCACCCCCATGCTTCACAGTAGGTATGGTGTTCTTTGGATGCAACTCAGCATTCTCTCTCCTCCAAACACGACGAGTTGTGTTTCTACCAAACAGTTCTATTTTGGTTTCATCTGACCATATGACATTCTCCCAATCCTCTTCTGGATCATCCAAATGCTCTCTAGCAAACTTCAGACGGGCCCCGACATGTACTGGCTTAAGCAGGGGGACACGTCTGGCACTGCAGGATCTGAGTCCCTGGCGGCGTAGTGTGTTACTGATGGTAGCCTTTGTTACCTTGGTCCCAACTCTCTGCAGGTCATTCACTAGGTCCCCCCGTGTGGTCCTGGGATTTTTGCTCACCGTTCTTGTGATCATTTTGACCCCACGGGGTGAGATCTTGCGTGGAGTCCCAGATCGAGGGAGATTATCAGTGGTCTTGTATGTCTTCCATTTTCTAATTATTGCTCCCACAGTTGATTTGTTCACACCAAGCTGCTTGCCTATTGCAGATTCAGTCTTCCCAGCCTGGTGCAGGTCTACAATTTTGTTTCTGGTGTCCTTCAACAGCTCTTTGGTCTTCACCATAGTGGAGTTTGGAGTGTGACTGTTTGAGGTTGTGGACAGGTGTCTTTTATACTGATAACAAGTTCAAACAGGTGCCATTGATACAGGTAATGAGTGCAGGACAGAGGAGCCTCTTAAAGAAGAAGGTCCAGGTCTGTGAGAGCCAGAAATCTTGCTTGTTTGTAGGAGACCAAATACTTATTTTCCCCCATAATTTGCAAATAAATTCTTTCCAGATCAGCCAATGTGATTGTCTGGATTTGTTTTCTCATTTTGTCTCTCATAGTTGAGGTCTCCCTATGATGCCAATTACAGGCCTCTCTCATCTTTGTAAGTGGGAGAACTTGCACAATTGGTGGGGACTAAATACTTTTTTGCCCCACTGTAAGCATTTCCCTGGCATTCTACCTAAATTTCAAATATGGTTTTTATATGTCGATGTGACCCACAGAGTGCCCAATCAGAAGGAAGTATTTTCATCTCTCTGCAACTAATATTTTAGCTTTTATGAGAGATGAAACATATTCCTTTGATGTATGTATATTATACTTTTAGAGCTCCCAACCTGTCTCCAGCCGTTCCCTCTTTTACTTCAGGAAGGTGGCAAAGTCAGATTATAGACAAATCTTATTGGCACTTAGGTGTCACATCCAGAGGAAGCTGGAAGTCTTTTCAGATGCTAATTGATGACCATCTGTCTCTGAACACCTCATTTCCCCCAATGACAAGGACTGAAACTACATGTAGGATTACATATTGCTACAGGTCACATCTTATCTACTCAAATCTGTACATTTTATGTGTCCCCCCCCCACCCGATTCCCTTTTCTCCACCCCCAGAACCCTTTTGGCTTTAGATGCACGATAAAGGCATAAAAGCGAACTCCAGACAACCAGCTAAATACACACAAGGGAGTGGCTTTATCCTGCCGAAAGGTTTGTGTTTCTGTCATCCTGTCCTGATGTTTACACATCTCAGCCACGTAGCACAGTCCTGTCTCTCGATTTGTCCCGTTTCGCATTATGATCCAAAGCAAAAGTAAAAGAAAACCCCAAACTTAGGGGTTGTACGCAGAAAGGTAATTAGAGGGGAAATCTTAGGGGACAATGACAATGGGAACACTGGTTCAGGTGACCTGGGGGGGGGGGGTCACCAAGGAATTCCCTTAATTTGCAGAGATCTCATCACTTCCTATTTTGGCTATGGGATAGGAAGTGCAGGAAAATCTCCCCCAATGGTCTATGGCAGGGGTCTGCAAACTTCCTAAACAAAGAGCTGGTTTACTGTGCTTGAGATTTCAGGGGGACCGGACCGTGGCTGATGGGAGTGGAAAATGTCCCAGCATCTGTGAGATTAAATAATGTCCCATCTTTGGTATTAGGGGAATTATTAGTGTCCCATCATTGGTGTCAGTGGGAGGAATAGTGCCCCATCGTTGGTGTCAGGAGGAGGAATAGTGCCCCGTCATTGGTGTCAGTGGGAGGAATAGTGCCCCATCATTGGTGTCAGTGGGAGGAATAGTGCCCCATCATTGGTGTCAGTGGGAGGAATAGTGCCCCGTCATTGGTGACAGTGGGAGGAATAGTGCCCCATCATTGGTATCAGTGGGAGGAATAGTGCCCCATCATTGGTGTCAGTGGGAGGAATAGTGCCCCATCATTGGTGTCAGTGGGAGGAATAGTGCCCCATCATTGGTGTCAGTGGGAGGAATAGTGCCCCGTCATTGGTGACAGTGGGAGGAATAGTGCCCCATCATTGGTATCAGTGGGAGGAATAGTGCCCCATCATTGGTGTCAGTGGGAGGAATAGTGTCCCATCATTGGTGTCAGTGGGAGGAATAGTGCCACATCATTGGTGTCAGTGGAATAGTGCCCCATCATTGGTGTCAGTGGGAGGAATAGTTCCCATCATTGGTGTCAGTGGGAGGAATAGTTCCCATCATTGGTGTCAGTGGGAGGAATAGTGCCCCATCATTGGTATCAGTGGGAGGAATAGTGCCCCATCATTGGTGTCAGTGGGAGGAATAGTGCCCCATCATTGGTGTCAGTGGGAGGAATAGTGCCCCATCATTGGTGTCAGTGGGAGGAATAGTGCCCCATCATTGGTGTCAGTGGGAGGAATAGTGCCCCATCATTGGCGTCAGGGGGAGGAATAGTGCCCATCATAGGTGTCAGTGGGGGGAATAGTGCCCCATCATTGGTATCAGGGGGAGGAATAGTGCCCCATCGTTGGTGTAGTGCCCCATTCCTCCCACTGACAGCAATGATGGGGCACTATTCCTCCCACTGACACCAATGATGGGGCACTATTCCTCCCACTGACACCAATGATGGGGCACTATTCCTCCCACTGACACCAATGATGGGGCACTATTCCTCCCACTGACACCAATGATGGGGCACTATTTCTCCCACTGACACCAATGATGATGCACTATTCCTCCCACTGATACCAATGATGGGGCACTATTCCTCCCACTGACACCAAGGATGGGGTACTATTCCTCCCACTGACACCAAGGATGGGGTACTATTTCTCCCACTGACACCAACAATGGGGCACTAATCCTCCCACTGACTCCATTGATGGCACTCTTCTTCCCATTGATACCAACAATGGGGCACTATTCTTTCCATTAAAACCAATGAAGGGGCATGGTTCACGCCCACTGCCCACTTCTGGCCCCCTCTAAAGTCTGAAGTCGGTAAGCTGGCCCTTTGGCTTAGAAAGTCTGGGGACCCCTTCACTACAGGAATGTACTTCAGTCCCAGAAGCGTGTGGATCAAACTGCAGTGGGCCATGGCTGGGGCGGTTGCTTCATGACGTCAACCCCTGTAGTACTGAGAACCATGGAAGGAGGTAAAACATCAGCCAGCCATGACAGCTAGCAGGTGCTGTGGCTCAGAGATGAGCAGACGGAAGTTCTCACAAAGCTGCTTCAGGTACACAAAAGGTGGCCGGCATGCAGAACATGGGCCCCCAGTGCAGCAAAGATGCATTCAAATCCTAACTGCTGGGGGGGGGGGGGGGGGTTTGCCTTCCTCTGGATCAACTGTGGGTGTCGGATTATAACTTTTTTTTTCCTATGGTTGAACTGGATGGACTTTTGTCTTTTCTTTCAGCCAGACTAACTATGTAACTGGAGTTCTGCTTTTGTTTTTTCTAGCTCGCTAAATAAAACAGTGCTTCAAAAAGGTGTGAAAGTTTTAAGTTTATCTGATATAGAAAGCCCCCCCCCCCCCCCCCCCCCCCCCCCCCCCCGCCAGCAAGCTGCAGACTCTTTGCTCTGTGTGGAAACGATGGTCTCTTTGCAGTGGTCTGAGCCCCCCCCCCCACCCATGTTCCCTGCTCACTGGAGGGCTCTAGCTCAGCAGGGGCATTTGGAAGCTCTGCAGAGAGACCGCTGCTTCCATACAGAGACCAAGAGTCCTCCAACCAGCAGGAGGCGTGACCCATGAACCTCCCCTTGGAGGTACCTGCCTCTCCGACTGGGTCTCCCTTTGGAGGTACCTGCCCCTCCGACTGGGTCTCCCTTTGGAGGTACCTGCCCCTCCGACTGGGTCTCCCTTTGGAGGTACCTGCCCCTCCGACTGGGTCTCCCTTTGGAGGTATCTGCCCCTTCCGACTGGGTCTCCCTTTGGAGGTACCTGCCCCTCCGACTGGGTCTCCCTTTGGAGGTATCTGCCCCTTCCGACTGGGTCTCCCTTTGGAGGTATCTGCCCCTCCGACTGGGTCTCCCTTTGGAGGTATCTGCCCCTCTGACTGGGTCTCTCTTTGGAGATATCTGCCACTCTGACTGGGTCTCTCTTTGGAGGTATCTGCCACTCCGACTGGGTCTCCCTTTGGAGGTATCTGCCCCTCCGACTGGGTCTCCCTTTGGAGGTATCTGCCCCTCCGACTGGGTCTCTCTTTGGAGGTATCTGCCCCTCCGACTGGGTCTCCCTTTGGAGGTATCTGCCCCTTCCGACTGGGTCTCCATTTGGAGGTCTCTGCCCTGATCTCAGCCTCCATTTGGGTCTATATACCCCATTTGGGCCTACACTTCAGTCTCTCCCCCCAATCGGTCTCTGAGCCCCTTCTGGGCCTCTGTTTGGGTCCCCATGCGGGTCTTTTGCCCCCAGTTTGGGTCCTCGTTCGGGTCTCTGCCCCCCATTTGGGTCTCCATTTGGGTCTCTGCCCATTTGGATTTCTGCTCCTCTCTGGGTCTCTGCCCCACTTTGGGCCTTTGCCCCATTTCAAGAGCTTCTATGAAAGACAACCTGAAGTTACCTGAGCAACGGCTTCACAGAAAGGCTGGTTGGAATATCTGAGGTGGGTAAAGGAGCGCATCATTAGGGCGATATCCGTCTGCTTCATTGTTGTCAATCTGGGCATGAGGTCGGTGGCCATCTTCTGTAAGACTTCCATGTGGAAGTAATTCAGCTTGGCTGGAAGACACACAAAGAACGAGGATGAAGACGGACAGAAAAACTGAAGACTGACCTACAGACAAGAAACAAAGATGCATTGATGTGAATCTGTATCCTTTGCAGGAGAAATGGTAACACGATGGTGTGAGCATCAAATCCACCCACATATCAGCACCCCAGCAACAGAGGGACCGCGACTACCACAGGAAGGCATGGGTACCCCCGAAATGTAATATCCGCCTTGCCAGTTCCCCTTCATTCCTGTAGCAAGTGAACTACGCCAAGAGTAGAGGCAGAGGCATGCTGGCGTGGTCGGTGTGCAGATCATTGCGCTCTCCTGTAGTCTTGTAGTCATTTTAGCATCTACGCCCCACCGCCCGGCCTTGCTGCGCTGATTGTATGGGGTACAGTGATAGCAGGCAGACACCATACACGGCCCCCCCTCCAGAGATTCAGAAAACGCTAAGAAGGGGGTATCTAGGGGTGTTAGTCACCCCTATAGGTCTGTCTACAGAACTACGATGCTTCCAAGGCTCCCAAGGAGTGAAGTGCTCTCTGCCCTCCGACTGGGTCTCCCTTCGGAGGTACCCGCCCCTCTGACCTGGGTCTCCCTTCGGAGGTACCCGCCCCTCCGACTGGGTCTCCCTTCGGAGGTAGCCGCCCCTCCGACTGGGTCTCCCTTCGGAGGTAGCCGCCCCTCCGACTGGGTCTCCCTTCGGAGGTAGCCGCCCCTCCGACTGGGTCTCCCTTCGGAGGTAGCCGCCCCTCCGACTGGGTCTCCCTTCGGAGGTAGCCGCCCCTCCGACTGGGTCTCCCTTCGGAGGTACCCGCCCCTCCGACTGGGTCTCCCTTCGGAGGTACCCGCCCCTCCGACTGGGTCTCCCTTCGGAGGTACCCGCCCCTCCGACTGGGTCTCCCTTCGGAGGTACCCGCCCCTCCGACTGGGTCTCCCTTCGGAGGTACCCGCCCCTCCGACTGGGTCTCCCTTCGGAGGTACCCGCCCCCCCGACTGGGTCTCCCTTCGGAGGTACCCGCCCCCCCGACTGGGTCTCCCTTCGGAGGTACCCGCCCCCCCGACTGGGTCTCCCTTCGGAGGTACCCGCCCCCCCGACTGGGTCTCCCTTCGGAGGTACCCGCCCCCCCCGACTGGGTCTCCCTCCGGAGGTACCCGCCCCCCAGACTGGGTCTCCCTTTGGAGGTACCCGCCCCTCCGACTGGGTCTCCCTTTGGAGGTACCCGCCCCTCCGACTGGGTCTCCCTTCGGAGGTACCTGCCCCTCCGACTGGGTCTCCCTTCGGAGGTACCCGCCCCTCCGACTGGGTCTCCCTTCGGAGGTACCTGCCCCTCCGACTGGGTCTCCCTTTGGAGGTATCTGCCCCCCAGACTGGGTCTCCCTTTGGAGGTATCTGCCCCTTCGACTGGGTCTCCCTTTGGAGGTATCTGCCCCTCCGACTGGGTCTCCCTTTGGAGGTCTCTGCCCTCATCTCGGCCTCCATTTGGGTCTATATCCCCCATTTGGGCCTACACTTCAGCCTCTCCCCCCGTTCGGTCTCTGAGCCCCCTCTGGGTCTCTGTTTGGGTCCCTGCCACCATTTGGGTCCCCATTCGGGTCTTTGCCCCCAGTTTGTGTCTATGCCACCACTTGGGTCCCCATTCGGGTCTTTGCCCCCAGTTTGGGTCTCTGCCCCCCGCTTGGGTCCTCGTTCGGGTCTCTGCCCCCCTTTGGGTCTCCATTTGGGTCTCTGCCCATTTGGATTTCTGCTTCTCTCTGGGTCTCGGCCCCCCTTTGGGTCTTTGCCCCATTTCAAGAGCTTCTATATGAAAGAAGAAATCTAGGAGGTTACATGACTGCAACTGAAACACTGGGCAAAGGCATCGTGATGCATTTTGTAATCTTGATGTTGCAGTTGCGTATGAAAGTCGTAAGACTTACATTTACGTTTTTGCTGTTTTTTTTTAATTCCCACCAGAAAAAAATAAATAAATCTATTATTCTCCTTTTCCAGAGGCACTCTACACGGCCTTTCCTGATCCTGGTCGTTGCCCCACTTCCAGGATGAATGATGCCCGGCGCCATTCAACCACCTCAGCATCGTTCTTTGCAGCCCTGAGGATCATCCACTTTTAAAGATGGAGAAGAGAAAGAGGGACAAGCGCTGGTCACTTGACCGCATGGAAGACGCCTGGAATTAAAGTGCAACTCTGGGATACACCTAACCAATCCTAAAAGTTATTCTAAATTACTCAGAGTGAACTCGGTTTGAAAGATGTTAGAAAGCCGCGAAGAGTGCAGCGCATCATCCCCCAAAGGTCTGTCTTACCGAAAGCAAATGCCAAATCTAATATGACCGATGGGGAGAGTTCAGTGCTGTACTTTGTGAGGTGGAAGGACAGCGCCCGCAGGACAGGTAAAGTTCGCCGATTCCAAGCTGCCAAGGCAGTGATGACTCTCTGAGACTGCTCAGGTGTCAAACCTGCAGCAAGTTCTAGGACCTAAAACAAGGGGGAAAAAAAAAAAAAAAACGCTCAGGTATGGTAATGTGACCTTCATAAGGTGGAAATAGTCATTTTATATGTACACCATCTTTTTTTTTCTGATATTAGAATCCCTTTAAATGCTACACTATATGGCCAAAGGTTGGGGCACCTGACCACCACACCTATATGAGCTTGTTGGACATCCCATTTCAGAACCATGGACATTAATATGGAATTGCCTCTCTCCCCCCATGGCCATTACGATGGAGTTACCACCTTTGGTTCTGTAACAAGCTCCAATCTTCTAGGAAAGCTTTCTACAAGATTTTGGAGGGGGTCCCGTGGGAATTTGGGCCCCATTTGTGATGTTGGATGAGAAGATCTGGCCCACAATTGGTGTTCCAATTCATCCCAAAGTTGTTCAGTAGAAGGGTTAAGGTCATGGCTCTGTGCAATAAGATTAAGGTCATGGCTCTGGGCACCACACTCTAGTTCCTCCAAACCAAACTGGTCAAACTATGTCTTTAAGGAGCTGGCTTTGTACACAGGGGACAGTCATGGTGGGACAAAATAGGGTCTTCACCAAATTGTTACCACAAGGTTGAGCTGTTGGACATCCTAGTCCACAACCATGGCCGTTAATATGGAGTTGCTCCCCATTCCAATATCATGGCCAGTAATATGGAGTTGCTCCCCTACTCCAAGACCATGGCCGTTAATATGGAGTTGCCCCATTCCAAAACCATGGCCAACAAAATGGGAGCTGCTACCCTACTCCAAGACCATGGCCGTTAATATGGAGTTGCCCCCCATTCCAAAACCATGGTCATTAATATGGAGTTGTCACCCATTCAAAAACCATGACCATTAATATTGAGTTGCCTTCCTACTCCAAAACTATGGCCAATAATATGGAGTTGTCACCCTACTCCAAGACCATGGTCATTAATGTGGCATTGTCCCTCTACTAAAAGGCCATGGCTAACAATATGGAGTTGCCCTCCATTCCAAAACCATGGCCATTAATATGGAGTTGCCCCCTATTTCAAGATCATGGCGATTATTATAGAGCCCTCCCCCCATTCCAAACCCATGGCCAATAAATATGGAGTTGCCCCCCTACTTTAAGATTGATGGCAATTAATATACAGCTGCCCTCCATTCCAAAACCATGTCCAAAATTATAAAGTTGCTCCCCATTCCAAAACCATGGCCAGTATTATGGAGTTGTCCCCCTACTCCAAGACCATGGCTAATATGGAGTTTGCTCCCCCATTCCAAAACCATAGCTATTAATATAGAGTTGCCCCCCATTCCAAAACCATTAATATGCATAGCCAATAATATGGAGTTGCCCCCCCCAATTCCAAAACAAGGGCCTATACTATGGAGTTGAAGATCATTCCAAAACCATGGCCAATACTATGGACTTGAAGATCATTCCAAAACCATGGCCAATACTGTGGACTTACCCACCATTTCAAAACCATGGCCAATAATATGGAGATGTCAACCACTCCAAGACCATGGCCAATAATATGGAGTTGTCAACCACTCCAAGACCATGGCCAATAATATGGAGTTGTCAACCACTCCAAGACCATGGCCAATAATATGGAGTTGTCAACCACTCCAAGACCATGGCCAATAATATGGAGTTGTCAACCACTCCAAGACCATGGCCAATAATATGGAGTTGTCAACCACTCCAAGACCATGGCCAATAATATTATGGAGTTGTCAACCACTCCAAGACCATGGCCAATAATATGGAGTTGTCAACCACTCCAAGACCATGGCCAATAATATGGAGTTGTCAACCATTCCAAGAATATGGCCAATAATATGGAGTTGCCCCCCATTCCAAAACCATGGCCACTACACTGGTCTCTCCCAAACTTTAACCACAAGGTTGGAAGTGCAAAATTCCTAAAATGTATTTATATGAAGAAGTGGTAAAAGAAGCCATTTCTGTGAACTCATCATTTGGAGGAGGCCCACCTTTGGACATACAGTGTATTTTAACTGTGGATATGAGGTTTGTCCACAGGCGATCTGTTACGATACCTTATCTTCCAGTTTCTCCTTGAGGGAGTTCGACACGGAGCCCAGGCTTGATATCAGCGACACCACTGTCCGCGGTTCCTTTATCTCTGTCCATCGAAGCTCCACTTGTTTAACTAGTTCATTGAGCAGTCTGTTTTCTTCCTTGGTCCGATCAGAGTGCGGAATACAGCTTGACAGCTGGGCCAGACCTCCAACACCAAACCTACGGAGACGCCATTGCGCTTCAACCTCCGCTGACTGGAAGCAAAGGTTATTTCTGTCCAATTTGAGTTTATAAAAGCTCTTCACCAATTTAATAAGGCGATTGTTCCAGACATATTGGATCTGCAACACAGAGAACTCAAGGTCAAACATTTACCAAATCCAGATATTATCAGGAGAAATTCAGGCAACAAATACGTCATTAACACCATTTTTGAATGACCCTAATCCATCCAGACCACGCTATTCATTACCGGTACAATTTACTACAGTGCAGGAAATGCGTATTTGCTCCCCGGCTGATGCTGAATGTTCGCCCCTCACACAGAAATGATCGGTCTAACAATTGAATGTTCGCCCCTCACACAGAAACGATCGGTCTAACAATGGAATGTTCACCCCTCACACAGAAACGATCGGTCTAACAATGGAATGTTCACCCCTCACACAGAAACGATCGGTCTAACAATGGAATGTTCGCCCCTCACACAGAGATGATCGGTCTAACAATGGAATGTTCGGTGTAACACTGAGAGACAGAATACAACAACAAATTCAGCAGAAATGCGTCTAACAAATGATGACGGATCTGCATGTTCATGAGGGAAAGAAGGATTTGATCCCCTATCATTCAGCAGGATTTCTGGCTCCCAGGTGTCTCTCATACAGGTAACAAGCTGAGATTAGAAGCAGTCTCTTAAAGGGAGTGCTGCTAATCTCATTGTGTTACCTGTATAAAAGACATCTGTCCACAGGAGCCATCAAACCATCAGACTCTAAACTCTCCACCATGGCAAAGACCAAAGAGCTGTCCAAGGATGTCAGGGACAAGATGGTAGACCTACACAAGGCTGGACTGGGCTACCAAACTATGGCCAAGCAGCTTGGTGAGAAGGTGACAACAGTTGGTGCAATCATTCACAAATGGAAGAAACACAAAACAAGTGTCAGTCTCCCTAGGTCTGGTGCACCATGCAAGATCTCACCTCGTGGAGTGTCAATGATCATGAGAACAGTGAGGAATCATCCCAGAACTACACGTGAGGATCTTGTCAATGATCTCCAGGCAGCTGGGACCACAGTCACCAAGAAAACAATTGGTAACACACTACGCCGACAAGGACTGAAATCCTGCAGTGCCCGCAAGGTCCCTCTGCTCAAGAAAGCCCATGTCCAGGCCCGTCTGAAGTCTGCCACTGAACATCTGAATGATGCAGAGGAGGACTGGTGGGAAGTGTTGTGGTCAGAGGAGACCAAAATCCAGCTCTTTGGCATCAACTCAACTCGCTGTGATTGGAGGAGGAAAAATGCTGCCTATGACCCCAAGAACTCCATCCCAACTGTGAAACATGGTGGTGGAAACATTCTGCTTTGGGGGTGTTTTTCTGCTAAGGGGACAGGACAACTGCTCTGCATCAAAAGGGACGATGGACGGGGCAATGTACCATCAAATCTTGGGTGAGATCCTTCTTCCCTCAGCCAGGACATTGAAAATGGGTGGTGGATGGGTGTTCCAGCATGACAATGACCCAAAACACACGGCCAAGGCAACAAAGGAGCGGCTCAAGAAGAAGCACATTAAGGTCCTGGAGTGGCCTAGCCAGTCTCCACACCTTCATCCGATTGAAAATCTGTGGAGGAGCTGAAAGTTCGAGTTGCCAAACATCAGCCACCAAACCTTAATGACTTGGAGAAGATCTGCCAAGAGGAGTGGGCCAAAATCCCTCCTGAGATGTGTGCGAACCTGGGGGCCAACTCCAGGAAACGTCTGACCTCTGTGATTGCCAACAAGGGATTGGCCACCAAGTACTAAGTCATGTTTTGTGAAAGGGATCAAATCCTTCTTTCCCTCATGAACATGGAGATCGGTCATCATTTGTTAGACGCATTTCTGCTGAATTTGTTGTTGTATTCTGTCTCTCAGTGTTACACCGAACATTCCATTGTTAGACCGATCATTTCTGTGTGAGGGGCGAACATTCCATTGTTAGACCGATCATTTCTGTGTGAGGGGCGAACATTCCATTGTTAGACCGATCATTTCTGTGTGAGGGGCGAACATTCCATTGTTAGACCGATCATTTCTGTGTGAGGGGCGAACATTCACCATCAGCAGGGGGGCAAATACGCATTTCCTTCACTGTATTGTAAACCTAATTAACTTGCCTAGCTGGTTCTAAATGATTGGTTAAACGGGAAGTGATTTTGGTAGGAAATGGAGTGAGGCAGGAAGTGAGGTCACACAGCCATGTGTTTTGAAAGGACACAGAGCTAGAGGATGGAAAGAAGAGTAAGAAGCCACTCCTGGGCTCCCTGACCAACCAAGAACTCCAGCTTGACCATCGCAGCAATCCAAAATGACTGCAGCTCCTAATTTGACCACTTGACCTCTGGAAGGTTTTCTTCATGACCAGGGCATCTTTTGCTATTCGGCACTATGCTACTTTGGCAATAGCGCGGTCATGCAACGCTGTACCCCACTGAAATGTATACCTTTATTTAAACACAGAGCTTTCATTTGGTGGCATTTGATCACCACAAACTTTGGAAAAAACAAAAAACATTTAATACTTTTCATATAAAACATATCCAAAAAAAAGTCAAAAGAATCAAAATTTCTTCATGAATCTAGGCCAAAATGTATTCTGCTACGTCTTTAGTAAAAAAAAAAAAAAAAAAATCCTAATAAGCGTATATTGATTGGTTGTGTGAAAGTTCCAGCCTACAAACTATAGTATATATACACTGGAACTATGACGCTATACTGGTAATGGTAGTGATATTGTGATAGTGTGGCGGGCAATCCGGTGCTAGCTGGGAGGTACACTGACAGATAGTGGCACTTATACAGTGATCAGTGCTAATATTGTACTCTGTACTGATGTCACTGGCTGGGAAGGGGTTAACCTCAAGGGGCAATCAAAGGGTCAACTGTGTGCCTAAAACTGGTAATGTGTCAGGGATGTGCAAATTATATCGCCTGACGCCCGGGCAGGTGGTTTTCTTTTACGGTTAGCCCTGCTGCAAGTAAGCAGCAGGGTTTACTTTTCGCCCAGGCGATTCCTATTTTAAGCAGAAGTAATCGAGTCAAGCGGTGGAAAGCCCCTCCCCCTGAAGTCCTGTTGCGGGTCGTTGTACGATGTCCACTCTGCGCCGGCCCAGGGAGGCTGGCTTGGGGTCCATGTGTGCCTACTGAACTAGAGACAGAGGAAGAGAGCCAGGATGAGGAGGGGAGAGACAGCGTCGTCTGCTGGACACATCTCCACCGGGACAACATGGCCTCACCTCCACCTGCAAGACCGACTCCTGGACCGGCCCTCACATCCACCAGCGGTTAGTGACCCCTATTATCACTTCTATCAGTAGTAACCAGTGATGGTGTGTGCTAGCAGTTGGAGTGCACATGCGTGCTCTGAACCTGGTACAAGCTGAACATCCATGATCCAGCCTGCCCATGCCGCCCGCCTGCAAATGTACTGTGGGTGGGTGGGAAGTAGTTAAAGCCCAACTCCATGTTTCTTGTGACTTGCATAGTTTGTGTGGGCCAAACTGGTTCAACCAGGGTTGTCTCTCGCTTCAGGTCCGTCGGCCGCCGGGGTTGTCTCTCGCTTCAGGTCCGTCGGCCGCCGGGGTTGTCTCTCGCTTCAGGTCCGTCGGCCGCCGGGGTTGTCTCTCGCTTCAGGTCCGTCGGCCGCCGGGGTTGTCTCTCGCTTCAGGTCCGTCGGCCGCCGGGGTTGTCGCTCGCTTCAGGCCCGTCGGCCGCCGGGGTTGTCTCTCGCTTCAGGCCCGTCGGCTGCCGGGGTTGTCTCTCGCTTCAGGTCCGCGGGCCGCCGGGGTTGTCTCTCTCTCGCTTCAGGTCCGCGGGCCGCCGGGGTTGTCTCTCGCTTCAGGTCCGCCGGCCCCCGGGGTTGTCTCTCGCTTCAGGTCCGCCGGCCCCCGGGGTTGTCTCTCGCTTCAGGTCCGCCGGCCCCCGGGGTTGTCTCTCGCTTCAGGTCCGCGGGCCGCCGGGGTTGTCTCTCGCTTCAGGTCCGCCGGCCCCCGGGGTTGTCTCTCGCTTCAGGTCCGCCGGCCCCCGGGGTTGTCTCTCGCTTCAGGTCCGCCGGCCCCCGGGGTTGTCTCTCGCTTCAGGTCCGCCGGCCCCCGGGGTTGTCTCTCGCTTCAGGTCCGCCGGCCGCCGGGGTTGTCTCTCGCTTCAGGTCCGTCGGCCGCCGGGGTTGTCTCTCGCTTCAGGTCCGCCGGCCCCTGGGGTTGTCTCTCGCTTCAGGTCCGTCGGCCGCTTCAGGCCCCTCGGCCGCCGGGGTTGTCTCTCGCTTCAGGCCCGTCGGCCGCCGGGGTTGTCTCTCGCTTCAGGCCCCTCGGCCTCCGGGGTTGTCTCTCGCTTCAGGCCCCTCGGCCACCGGGGTTGTCTCTCGCTTCAGGTCCATCGGCCACCGGGGTTGTCTCTCGCTTCAGGTCCATCGTCCACCGGGGTTGTCTCTCGCTTCAGGTCCATCGTCCACCGGGGTTGTCTCTGTCCAGCCCTCCTAGAGTAAATGCCTGTCTCCTGGAATCTCCTCCATGCTCTTGAGACTGTGCTGGGAGACACAGCAAACCTTCTGGCAATGGCACGTATTGATGTGCCATCCTGGAGGAGTTGGACTGCCTGTGCAACCTCTGTAGGGTCCAGGTATGGCCTCATGCTACCAGTAGTGACACTGACCCGAGCCAAATGCAAAACCAGTGAAAAACAGTCAGAAAATATAAGTAGGGAAAAAAAATGTCAGCAGCCTCCACCTGTAAAACCATTCCTGTTTTGGGGGTTGTCTCATTGTTGCCCATCTAGTGCACCTGTTGTTCATTTCATTAAGACCAAAGCAGCTGAAGCTAATTAACCCCCTCTGCGACTTCCCTGACCAGACCGATATCCCAGGAGTTTCATTGACTTGATGCTAGACTCGGATTAAAAAGTTTTCCATATATATAATAAATATTCATGATTTTCCCTGTAATAAAACATCACGATAAGGAACACAGAAAATCGGTTTTACTTTGAGGAACAACACGGCATTCACCTCGAGAGTCACCCCAAAACTCGGTCAGAAAGCAAAATGTATGGTGGCAGCTCTGGGGGGGGGGGGTCTTACCTGTTTATTTACATTTTTCATAAGATCCTGGAATCTGGGGTCCTCCAAAACCTGCCCATTATACCCGACTTGCCTCTGTGCGATCTCTTGGATGATCATCACCTTCCTGTTCGCGGACAGACTTGGCTCTCTGCCGGTCTCCAGCAGTTCCTCCACCCCCGGCAAAGTCTGCAGCATGGAGAAGAACTCATTATCGCCCAGAGCAGTGAGGGAGCTCTGGGAGGTCTCTGGGGGGCACAGGGTGGTCTCTGGGAGGTTCCCCACCAGGAATCGCAGGGAGGAGGTGTGCAGGGCCGCCTGGCAGGGGAAGCACGGGGCATACTGACACAATCTCATATACATTCTGAGGGGGCGGAGGCGGGCGGGGGATGGAAGGAGACTGGCGCTGCCAGCAGACGGGACACGCGCTGGATCAGACGGACCGCCATCCCTTCTTTGGGGTGGAATTCAGGGAGCCGGGAGGAAGGTCAGTTCCGCATATTCCTGCAAGAAAGGACACAAAGAAATGTAAGTTTTCTGATCGGGGGATGGTTGGGTTTAATCTTACAAAAAGTCCATCTTTGGGCAAATGCGGGCTGAAGAATCCCCACACCGTGCCAGGGGCCCCCAAAAAATACAGCCTGAGGGCCACATGGAGCCCAGTGCAAGATTTTATCTGGCCCACAGACTGATGACCCAGATCAGTTGGTCTCCTCTGATGGGTACCCTGATATAAAGGGGGGGTCAAATGGGAGGACCTGAAGGGGGAGCCTTCATATAAAAGGAGGATGTGACGAACCGTCCCTCTGTGATAACATTTTGCCCTTTCTGCTCCAGTTTTCCCCCCTTTGTAAAGCTGTATATGTTTCACAGACATTCCACACTGTTTGTTTAGGGCAGTGTTTCTCAACTCCAGTCCTCATGGACCCCCAACAGGTCATGTTTTCAGGATTTCCCTCAGATGAAACAGCTGTGGTAATTACTAAGGCAGTGAAACTGATCACCTGTGCAAAATAATGGAAATCCTGAAAACATGACCTGTTGGGGGTCCATGAGGACTGGAGTTGAGAAACACTGGTTTAGGGCAGGGCAGTGGTCGGCAAGCCGCGGCTCTTTACAAACTTAAATGCGGCTCTTCTGTGTGCCGGGCGCCCGCTCCCCTCCCTCCTCTTGGGCGGCCGCCCCAAAAGTCAGGACTCTGCAGCTGTCAGGATGTTTGGGGCAGCCAGGATGTAGGCGGGGCAGCGTGACAAACTCCTCTCCTCTCACAGTCCGCCCTGAAGACCAGAACGGCGCGGGAACACGGCGAGAGGAACGCGCGGAGCAAAGGTAAGTGAATTGACTTAATATGGGGAATGAATTACTATATGGGGGATGAATTACTATATGGGGGATGAAATACTATATGGGGGATGAATTACTATATGGGGGATGAAATACTATATGGGGGATGAAATACTATATGGGGGATGAATTAATATATGGGGGATGAATTACTATATGGGGGATGAATTACTATATGGGGGATGAATTACTATATGGGGGATGAATTACTATGGGGGATGAATTACTATATGGGGGATGAATTACTATGGGGGATGAATTACTATATGGGGGATGAATTACTATATGGGGGATGAATTACTATATGGGGGATGAATTACTATGGGGGATGAATTACTATAGGGGGGATGAATTACTATGGGGGATGAATTACTATATGGGGGATGAATTACTATATGGGGGATGAATTACTATGGGGGATGAATTACTATGGGGGATGAATTACTATATGGGGGATGAATTACTATAGGGGGGATGAATTACTATATGGGGGATGAATTACTATATGGGGGATGAATTACAATATGGGGGATGAATTACTATATGGGGGATGAATTACTATATGGGGGATGAATTACTATAGGGGGGATGAATTACTATAGGGGGGATGAATTACTATAGGGGGGATGAATTACTATATGGGGGGATGAATTACTATATGGGGGATGAATTACTACTATGGGGGATGAATTACTATGGGATGAATGGAATTATATGGGGGATGAATTACTATATGGGGGATGAATTACTATGGGGGATGAATTACTATAGGGGGGATGAATTACTATGGGGGATGAATTACTATAGGGGGGATGAATTACTATATGGGGATGATTTACTATATGGGGGATGGATTACTATATGGGGGATGGATTACTATATGGGGGATGGATTACTATATGGGGGATGAATTACTATATGGGGATGAATTACTATATGGGGGATGAATTTACTATATGGGGGGATGAATTACTATATGGGGGATGATTTACTATGGGGGATGAATTACTATATGGGGGATGAATTACTATGGGGGATGAATTAATATATGGGGGATGAATTACTATATGGGGGATGAATTACTATATGGGGATGATTTACTATATGGGGGATGGATTACTATATGGGGGATGAATTACTATATGGGGGATGAATTACTATATGGGGGATGAATTACTATATGGGGGATGAATTACTATATGGGGGATGAATTACTATATGGGGGATGAATTACTATGTGGGGGATGAATTACTATGTGGGGGATGAATTACTATGTGGGGGATGAATTACTATATGGGGGATGTATTTTCAGTTTTAAAAATGTGGCTCTCAAAATAAATTTCAATCGTGGTTTTGGCGAGATTTGGCTCAGTTGAAAAAAAAGGTTGCCCACCACTGGTTTAGGGTAATGTGACCTTGTAGTCTTTCACTTCGATAAGAGTTCATACTGTATTGTTGGTTGTTGGGGTTTTTTTTTGTGGGTGGGGAAAACCCGGTGCCAGGCTGTCTGGTGGGGGTGGAGGTGAAGCTGTATATACTGAGCTGTGTTTAATAAAGAGTCATTCATTTTCACCCTACGCGAAGTTCCGACTCGTGGTTTGGGAGAGCAGGGAAGGGAGTGTTTTGAGCTCTAATACCTGCCTTGGCAAAGGGCTGGAAGCCTTGCTGGAAAAGGGGACCGTTGGCTGAGACGCATCACTCCGCACGAGGAAGCCCAGGCGGAACGGTTCCGCCACAGAGGAGCTCTGATTGGGACCCTAAAGTAAACGGGGCAAGGATGTTGAATTCCTATTGCCCGACGCCCGGGACATGCAGTTTCCGGGCAAGAAGTTTTGTTTTATACATTTAGCCCTGCTAAGGGGGGGGGGGGGTTAATGGACCAGTGGGAGGTAGGACTTTTTTTTCTATAAATATATTTATTTTGATTTATTATTTATTGTAGTAGATATCACAGTTCTGTGCAGAATAATATATATATATATATATATATATATATATATATACAGTCATGGCCGAAATTGTTGGCACCTTGATATTTTTCCTGAAAATCAAGTATTTCACACAAAAAAGGTATTGCATTAACACATGTTTTGCTATACACATGTTTATTCCCTTTGTATGTATTGGAACAAATATAAAACAGAGGCAGAAAAGCAAATATGACATAATGTCACACAAAACCCCAAAAATGGGCTGGACAAAAGTATTGGCACCCTTAACTTAATATTTGGTTGCACACCCTTTGGAAAACATAACTGAAATCAGTCGCTTCCTATAACCATCAATAAGCTTCTGACACCTCTCACCCGGAATTTTGGACCACTCTTCCTTTGCAAACAGCTCCAGGTCTCTCTTATTGGAAGGACACCTTTTCCCAACAGCAATTTTAAGATCTCTCCACAGGTGTTCAATGGGATTTAGATCTGGGCTCATTGCTGGCCACTTCAGAACTCTCCAGCGCTTCTTTGCCATCCATTTCTGAGTGCTTTTTGACGTATGTTTGGGGTCATTGTCCTGCTGGAAGACCCAGGATCTTGGACGCAAACCCAGCTTTCTGACACTGGGCCCTACAGTGCGACCCAAAATCCTTTGGTAATCCTCAGATTTCATGATGCCTTGCACACAGTCAAGGCACCCAGTGCCAGAGGCAGCAAAACAACCCCAAAACATCATTGAACCTCCACCATATTTTACCGTAGGTACTGTGTGTTTTGTTCTTTGTAGGCCTCATTCCGTTTTCGGTAAACAGTAGAATGATGTGCTTTACCGAAAAGCTCTATCTTGGTCTCATCTGTCCACAAGACGTTTTCCCAGAAGGCTTTTGGCTTACTCAAGTACATTTTGGCAAACTGTAGTCTTGCTTTTTTATGTCTCTGTGTCAGCAGTGGGGTCCTCCTGGGTCTCCTGCCATAGCGTTTCATTTCATTTAAATGTCGACGGATAGTTCGCGCTGACACTGATGCTCCCTGAGCCTGCAGGACAGCTTGAATGTCTTTGGAACATGTTTGGGGCTGCTTATCCACCATCCGGACTATTCTGCGTTGCAATCTTTCATCAATTTTCCTCATCCGTCCACGACCAGGGAGATTAGCTACAGTGCCATGGGTTGCAAACTTCTTGATAATGTTGCGCACTGTGGACAAAGGCAAATCTAGTTCTCTGGAGATGGACTTGTAACCTTGAGATTGTTGATATTTTGCCACAATTTTGGTTCTCAGGTCCTCAGACAGTTCTCGTCTCCTCTTTCTGTTGTCCATGCTTAGTGTGGCACAGACAGACACACAATGCAAAGGTTAAGTGAACGTCTCTCCTTTTTATCTGCTTTCAGGTGTGATTTCTATATTGCCCACACCTGTTACTACTTGCCCCAGGTGAGTTTACAGGAGCATCACATGCTTGTAACATTCTTATTTATCCGCAGTTGTGAAAGGGTGCCAATACTTTTGTCCAGCCCATTTTTGGAGGTTTGTGTGACATTATGTCGAATTTGCTTTCTTTCCTCCCTTTTTTTTGTTTTGTCCCAATACACACAAAGGGAATAAACATGTGTATAGCAAAACATGTGTTAATGCAATACGTTTCAGGAGTTGCATTGACTTGATGCTAGACCAGGGGTGGGCAAACTTTTTGACTTGAGGGCCGCAATGGGTTCATATATTGGACCCGGGGGCCGGACCAAGAGTAGATGAATGATGTGTATGTGTCATCCATAGTAAGTATAGTAATATTCCCCCATAGTGAGCATAGTAATTAATCCCCCATATAGTAATTCATCCCCCATAGTAATTCATCCCCCCTATAGTAATTCATCCCCCATATAGTAATTCACCCCCATAGTAATTCATCATCCCCCACATAGTAATTCATCCCCCATAGTAATTCATCCCCCATAGTAATTCATCCCCCCATATAGTAATGCATCCCCCCATATAGTAATTCATCCCCCATATAGTAATTCATCCCCCATATAGTAATCATTCATCCCCCCATATAGTAATTCATCCCCCATATAATAATTCATCCCCCATATAGTAATTCATCCCCCATATTAATTCATCCCCCATATTAATTCATCCCCCATATAGTAATTCATCCCCCATATTA